TCCTCCTCCTTCTCCTCCTCCTCCTCCTCCTTCTCCTCCTCCTTCTCCCCCTCCTCCTCCTCCTCCTCGGGGCGTGTGTGCAGACCCTGGGCCCCCAGGGGCGGGCCTGGCCAGGCGATCGGTGCGGGTGCGCGGGCCTGGCGCCCTTCCCCCGCCGAGGCTGGCAGGGCCTTCTTCCTGCCGCGGTCCCTCGGGCCGCCGCTCCCCGCCCCCGCCGCCGCTCCATCGCCCCGCCCCTCCTCCGCCGGGCTTGCGCCGTGGCGCCCGCCGTGGGCTGCAGAGCACATGGCCGCCGAGGCAAGAGGTGCGCCGAGGAGCAGCACGGCCGCCGAGCAGCAAGCTATTTTCATCGAGCCTCGATCCTGGATCGTGGCTCCTCGAGCTTCCACTCCCGATCCTCGATGACCGAGGCTTTCGAGGCAGGAGGTGTGCTGAAGAACATCGCCTGACCGGTCCCTTGACCGGTCCCCACCTGCGCCGGCATGGCCCGGGCCCCACAGGCCGATCTGCTCCCCCAGGCGGGGACGTGCCATCACGCGTGCCGTTCCCTTCGGGGGTCCGCGGGGCCATCTCCGCCTGCGCGGGTGGGCTGGCGGGGCCGAGATGCCACGGCCAAACGGGGGCAGGACTCGGCTCGACGGCGCTGACCCGAGGGGGGGGGGGGGGGCGGAGCGCGCGAGCCCAGCGGCCGCTGCCATCGTCGGCAGGGGGCGCGGCCTGGGTCCTGGTGACCTTCCCCTTCGGGCACTGCAGCTTGTCGCAGGTCTCGGCCCAGATCATCGTCAGGTTGTAGTCCTGGCGCGGCGGCGGGGCCGCGCCGCCCCGTCCCCCCGCGGGGAGGGGGTGGGGGATCGGGCGCCCTGGCGCGGCGCGAAGCCTCGGCGCCCCTTCGTTCGGTGGGTCAACGGAGGGGTCCTGAGGGATGGGGGCCTACGGACGAGGTGCCGCAGGTAACGCAAACCCGCCCTGGGGTCCCTGCCTACCCTCAGGCCCACATCCCTCGGGACCTCATCTCTGGACCACCGATCCTTCCTCTCCGCGTGATGCCGCGGCGAGGCGACCACGGCCGGCAGACTGCCTCCACGCGGAGCGACGAGCACAGCCTGTACGGCCGCGCCCGTGACTCGGACGGCTGGGCTCCGCTGGGCTCCGCGGTGGAGCTCCCGCGGGCCAGACGTCGGGGCGGAGGACCCCGGGTGCTCGAACTGTCTCGCGCCAGAGGGGAGCGGCGAGCGGCGGGTGACGGCCAGGGGGGTGGCGCCGGGCGACGCCCGAGGGGAAAACGAGGAGGACGAGGACTCCTCGTCGAGGAGTCGCGGCGACGTCCGAGGGGAAGCGGGGACGAAGACTCCTCGTCGAGGAGGGGGTGGAGGATGAGGGGGGGGGGCGGGCGGGAGTAGAAGAAACAAAGCGGCACAAACAGAAGCTTTTGGCGCTCCGCGCGGATGTCTTGGATCTGCGCTGGACCTCCCTCGCTGGCGCGCGGAGCGCGCCAGGAGCGGCGCCGGAGGCGCCGCCGGTGGGGCCCAGCGCGGATCCAAGAAATCCGCGCGGAGCGCCCAAAGTTTGTGTTCATTGCGTTTTTTCGTCTTCGAGAGTAGGGGGGGGGCACGGGCGGGAAGGGACGCGCGAGCGGGGACAGGAAGGACGGCGATAGGGGGATGGTACTTTGCGTCTTCGCTGGGATCAACGCCCTTTTCGCTGGAGCTTTGAGCGCTTCGCCGCGTTTTTTCTGGGCCTCCCGGCTCGAGATCTGCTTCCAGGAGGCCCCCGCGTAGGGGGGGGCACCACGGGGATTCCCACAACGAGCTCAAGGATGGCCCCAAGATGTCACCCAGACGGCTTACGAGGATTCCAAGACGACGAAGGCGTGATACTGCGGGTTCGGGTCGTGTTGACCCCAGGGTTGGTTCCTGACACCGCGGGGATCGTTCCAGCGTGAACGATCGACCGTTTCCGAAACGTCAAATCGTTCCACATCGGCCGATTCTGGGTCGCCAACGGCGTTCAACGTTACACGCCGGCGGCGGGGCCGCCTGGTCGACATGACGCGAACCTACCCTAAGGATGCGGAACACAAGGAGGCGACAGCCAGACGCGAGGCAGTCACCGCGTGGAACGAGAGCGAAGGAGCGGGCACGCCGCGCAAGGTGCCAGGGCGGCAGCCGCAACCCGCGAACAACCCCCTAGTTCGGGAACGCCCAGACCCCCCTCCCACTCCTGCTCCTCCTCCTCCTCCTCCTTCTCCTCCTCCTCCTCCTCCTCCTCCTCCTCCTCCTCCTCCCCCTCCTCCTCCTCCTCCTCCCCCGCCTCCTCCCCCTCCTCCTCCCTCCTCCTCCTCTCTCCTCCTCCTCCTCCTCCCCTCCTCCTCCTCCTCCTCCTCCTCGCCTCCTCCTCCTCCTCCTCGTCCTCCTCCTCCTCCCCCTCCTCCTCCTCCTCCTCCTCCTCCTCCTCCTCCTCCTTCTCCGCCTCCTCCCTCTCCATCTGGTTATCTACGTCGTCGTCGCCCCCCATCGAGGGGGAATGATAGGGGGGCACCCGCTCAGGGGGGGAAGCATCGAGCTTGAATCTGCGATGCATTGCCGATCGCTCCCCGATATCGATTCGGGGTCGATGCATACCTTTTGAGTCCATCCCTCCCCCCCAGTCTTTGCCCCTGACTCCCTCCTCCACCTCCTGCTATGTCTCCGCCTCTTTCTTCTTCTTCTCCTTCTCCTCCTCCTGCGATTAGATCAAAAAGGCTCTCGCCTGTGAGACATCGACAGTGCTCCCTCACGTTGTGATGATATTCGTTCCTAATAAAATGTCGAGTTCGTCTTCACCTTCGGCCAAGTGGCAAACATTGCTTGACTACAAAACCTTCTGTAGTCAAACAACATTTTCAGAGTCTCTTTGCTTAGTTGGAGCCCGACGCAGCACAACAAGCCGCCAAAGGCCAGCAGCTTCCAATGAGAGGGTTGGGCGCCACGCCGTGAACCCAACCGACGCTCCCACGGAGAGGGTTGGGCGACACGCCGCGAACCCCACAAGACCGACACAGCAACACACGGACAGCACAGACGAGACCGACGCAGCACACCTCGACAGAGTCCTGACAACCTGGTCAAGGCCATCAGCTCCCAGTGAGTGGGTCGGGCGCCACGCCGCGAACCCAGACCGACGCTCTCACCGAGAGGGTTGGGCGACGCGCCGCGAACCCACTACAACCGACCGACACAGCAGAGCACACTGGAAAGCCAGACGAGACCGACGCAACACGACGATGGCCCCGACAGACTAGTCGGGGCCATAAGCTCCCAGGGAGTGGGTTGGGCGACACGCCGCGAACCCTGACTGACGCTCCCAATGAGAGGGTTGGGTGACACGCCGCGAACCCAAAAGCAAAGCGACCGACACAGCCGATGACAACGACTGCCTCGACATAGCCGACGCAGCACGACAGCATAATGACGTATTCCACTCATAATCGAAAGGCTTCGCCTTCGTGCCGAGGGGGATGAGACGGGCTACACCACTGTGGTTGATGTCAAGTTCCACAATGCTGAAGTCCACCGATTGGGGCATCCTCGGGAGCTCAGAGAAGGCTTGAGAACCTCCCTGCAAGCTGCCGCCTGCCCCGAAGCCTGGCCGTCGACCCTCGGGAAATCCGCGTTGAAATCCTCCTCCCTCTGTCCTCCTCCTCCTTCTTTTCCTCCTCCTCCTCTTCCTCCTGCTCCCGACAAGCACGGGAAGCACTTGGCGGCGGCATGCCGTCCCGCTGGGCGAGGCCCAGGGCCACGCGGACGGTGTAGTCCTGGCCTCGGTGGGCGGGCGGATGGGGCGGGCGGAAGCCAGCTCCAGGAGCGGAGCTCGACCCTCGGGGACGTCCATGAGGCTCGGGGCCTTCGAACCTCGCAGCCCCGAAGTTTCGAGTTTTTTTTTGTTTTGGGGGGGGGGGGGGGCGTTTTCGGTGGTGTTCTGCGGCTCTCCAGCCTCGGGGTGCCTTCCAGCGGCTGCGCCTCGCCGAGAGCGTTTCAGGGATGCCCAGATCTTCTCCAACGGCCACCGAAAGGCCCGAACTATGACCCGGAAACCACGTGGGAACCGGCTCAGGGGTGGAAGCATCGAGCTGGAGACGGCGACGCATCGCAGGTAGGCCCCCGATGGCAAAGCCCCACGTTCCTGGGCGGGACGGGCCATCCGGCCCGCATCGGCGATGAATGGGCGGTTTGGGGTAACGCCGGCGGGCCGTCGCCGGCGTCGTCAGTGTCGTCGACACCGACGCCGCCGACCGCCGCTGGGGGCCCCAAACTGGCAATCTTTTCTGAGTTTGGGGCTTCTGGAGGGCCGCTTCAGGCCTGGGGCCCACGACATCAACGTCGAGGCGCGAAGTCCGTCCGTGTATTGGGGTCGAGCTCCCAGAAGTCCCACGATCGCATGAAAACATCAAGATCTCAGAAACCCGCGGCATTATTCCTCCCCTCCTTCCTTGCCTCCTCATCGCTCTTCCCTTCAGTGTTCCCAAATCGCTTCCGAGCAGTAGCCCGACCAATAATCCAATCAGTGAAACAATGGGCGGCTGGCACTGTGTCCATGTACCGACGCTCCAAGATCAAATCCACGACAATTCTCGACCGTTCCCTGACGTGTCCTGCCAGAACCGTCCCCATCCCTCCTCCCTTATTGCAACACAACGGACTGGTTCCGAGTGGCTTCTGACTTTTATCCTCTTGGTACACGCTCTAGCTGTGGCAGCAAGGCAGGCCGCAAGGGAGAACACAACCCTGGTCAACCAATCGTGTAGAAGATCTGGCGCATCGATTGGCGCGGCCTCCTCGCCCGCCACTTCCTCCGTAATCGGAAAGGCCGAGATAGGCTGATACCTGTCAAATGCTGTCTGGCAAAGCCACTCGCTGTCAACGAAGGGACATCATGGAATTATTGGCGACACACTTGCCTCATGCAAACCGTCGGGTTGGTTCCCTACCTCCTCGAATGTCGAACAAACAAAGAAGACTACATGGGGCCGCTAAGGCTTCCACGGCCCTTGCCGATGGTCAAATCATGCGGCTGTTCATTGATCATCTTCTCTTGGTCGCCGTCGAACTGCCATGAGCATTGTGAAGAGCAACCATCGGCCACAAATATGCTGAAACCAAGTGGAAAGACACATCCAATGGAAGAGAGAACTCGCTGGATCGAACACACCTGCTATAGAACGTGGTTGCAACATCGTTCCAAGACATTACACTTTTGCACTTTGGCCAAGAGCCAGATCCCATTCCTGGTGCTGCTGGCGTATCATCACGTCGACTCGTGCTTGTGAGAAACAGAAGACCGTGCTCCGACATGTACTCTGGGATCTCTAATCCAAGGGAACTGCCAACACTAACTCACACAGACTTGAAACGCATATCAAGAAAACGGAGACCTCATTTTTTGCAAGTGCTGCCTCAAACATGCCTTCTCCAATACCACATGTTCATGCTTTCTTCTGCAGCTTACCTCCAGCGCTGTCACGGTTGGAGACGGCATCTGCAAATTCTGTCAATTTCAGTTACATGTGCACATATGTAAATGCTATGCCTTGCGTGGATCTTCAGGGGCTATATACAAGAAACTTCTGAGATGCAAGGAAGCTTAAACACGTGAGACATAACCTAACCATAACTCAAGCGGAGGCCAATCAGAAATTACATGGAATGCCACCCGCCCTTTAGGGCGTAGGTAGTTTTGGGTGCTTCCTCTTCCTCTGTCTTCCACTTCGGGATGGGGTTTATCACTGTGCCTTACTGGTATGCACCCCCTCCCCCACCTGACCGGGGGCGAACCTTCAACCATGATGTCCCCTCTCTACCGCCCCTTTCAAATTATCCAGGCGAGGGGCCCAACAAAAGGCAGGCGTGAATACCGCAATGCAGGTGGGACGAAGGGCAGAGAGCTCCATATGAGGCCAAAAGCGTGTGGGGGGTGCGCCCAAATTAATTGGGCGGTGTCGCCATGCGGGCGCCGGCGCTGGCGCCGCAATGAGGCGGCGCCGCCATGCGAACGCTAGCACTTGAGCCTTCGTTGGGGCTCCCTGTGTGGCCACGAAGCGTGTGAGGGGTGTGACGAAACGAAGCGGCGCCGCCATGCTAACGGTGGCTTTTGGGTCTTAGTTAGGGCTCCCTGTGGGACCACAAAACATGTGAGGGGTGTACAGACTTGAAGCGGCGCCGCCATGCGAACGCTGGCATTCGGGCCTTAATTGGGGCTCATTGTGGGGCCATGAAGCGTATGAGGGGTGTGCCGACATGAGACACCGCCATGCGAACGCTGGCATTTGGGTCTGAATTGGGGCTCTCTGTGGGCTGCGAAACGTGTGAGCTCCCTGTGGGGCCACGAAGCGTGTGAGGGGTGTGACGACATGAAGCGGCGCCGCCATGCGAACGCTAGTTTTGAGGCCTAAGTTGGGGCTCCCTGTGGGACCACGAAACATTCGAGGGGTGTCCCATAATGAGTCAGCGCTGCCATGCGAACGCTGGCATTTGGGTCTTAGTTGGGGCTTTCTGTGGGGCCTCGAAGCGTATGAGGAGAGTGCCGAAATTGGCACGTGGAAAGCAGAGGCAGGGGAAGGAGGAGCAGGAGAAGGAGGAGGAGGGGGAGGAGGAGGAGGAGGAGGGGAGGAGGAGGAGGAGGAGGAGGGGGAGGAGGAGGAGGAGGAAGATGAGGAGGAGGAGGAGAAGGAGGGAGAGGAGGAGGAGGGAAGAGTGACGCGGGGCGCTGTTTTCCTGCCTAGGCTCTGCCTAGAAGGGTTCTTACTCTCTTTGCTTAAAGGGGCCGGGCAGTGCTAACCGCCCCGGGCGGCTCCCCCAGGATCCGCCCCGCGGTTCCCCCAGCTACGTCCCCTTAGCTTAGCGTTGCTTATCATCTTAGCTTAGCTTATTTCATATTAGCTTAGCTTAGCTTCATCTTAGCTCAGGTTTATCTTAGCTTAGCTTACCTACCTAGGCTCTGCCTAGAGGGTTAGCTTGGCTTAGCTTAGCTTAGCTTAGCATAGCGCAGCGCTGCATTAGCATAGCATAACATAGCATACCATAGCCAAGCATAGCATATCATATCATAGCGCAGCATCTCATATCATAGCCTAGCCTAGCCGAGCCTAACATATCATAGCGCAGCTCAGCATAGCGTAGCATAGCATAGCATAGCATTACATAGCATAGCTTAGCATATCATAGCATAGCGAAGCATAACATAGCATCGCATAGCATAGCGCAGCAGCATAGCATGGTATAGGATAACATAGCGTAGCAACTAATGCTGCTTTCCTAGGGGCTCCAACTTCTGGGTAGGGTCGCACTGGGGAAATTCTTCAAAACACGGACCCAACAATACAGCATGGTTGGGACAAAACGAATACACAATGCACTTGGAGGCACATTCTGGATCGCCCGCGGGCACCAAACGATCACTTGGAGCCACCCGCGGGACGAAGGGGAGGGGGCCGGCATACATCCCCAGGCCGAGAGTTTTTCCCTCTTGGACTTCAAAAATGAGAACACCGATGGAGCCAATTTGATCCTTTTTCGGGTGTGCGACAGTGTCGTGGGTCATAAACAAGTTGATCCAGTTATTTTCTGGGAATATATGTATACATACATACATACATACATACATACATATATATATATATATATATATATATGCACATATGTAATTATCATCCCGGACCCAGGGGAAAGTGGATCCGCGGGGCACCGCACGTGAAGCATCATGTTATCCACGGAACTGTGGATCTGCTGACCGAAGCTATGATTATACGGGGTAGGGAGGGTCTTCCTAGGACGGAGTGGGGAAGGAGGAAGGAGGAGGCACGAAACCGAAGAGAACGCTACATGTATCCGCTCACCTGAACGGCACGTCGCTTCCGACATTTGGGGCTCAAGAGGCAAATCTTTCGGCCTGCGTAAATATAGCCTGCTGCGCGCAAGCCCGTGACATCATTTTTGCTGTTACTTTTTAATAGCGAAATGCACTTTGCGGCGAAAGCTTGATCCTGTTCGGGCGCCCCGCGATCACCTTGCATCGTTATTTGGCAGGAGTGATGGGGGGTGCCCTAATTAGCACCTGCGGCGCACCTCGCGTCTCGGTGCAACCCTCTGATCGGACCGCCAGTGGAGGACGCTGGCCTCCTTCAGCCCAGATGTCTGACAAGTGCGGTCCGAGCGGATGGGATCGGATGATCGCGCCGCATCGCCGATGCGCCGGCGGCGTCGCCGACGCATCGGCGCCGTTGGCGTTGAGAGAATCGGGCTCCACATCGAGCCGCATCGCTGATGCATCGGCGATGCGGTGCGGTCCTACGACCCCACCTACTTCGGACCCCATGTGGGAGGCCTGGGCCTCCCCCCCCGCCCGTGTGATCGAGGGCCAGTGGGCGCGAGGAAAGTCCCCTCGAGCCTCCCTTCTCCCCTTCCGCCCTCCGGAAAATAACTCCTTGGACTGGGGGGTGCTCCAGCACGCAGGGGGGGCATCCCCGAGAGCTCGGGTGGGGGGTCGCCCCTGCGCGGAAGGGAGGGCCCCCCCTGGAACCTTGGAGCCTGTGGGGCTGGGTGCTGCGTGGGCGTCTTGCAAATCCGACGACGACGACGGCGGCGAACTGCGGATGCCCTATTGGGGGGGGCGCGGCCATCAGGATTCCATCCCCCCCTTCCGCAGTCGGGGGGGGGATCTCGGGCACAGCTTGTCGGTGGCGGGAGGGCGTCGTGGCGGCGGGTGGGCGAGGTCGACTTCATGGATGTTTCTGCGTATGTCGAAGAAGAAGCAGGGAAGGGCTCCGCGGCGGCACTCAAGTCAGCAAAATCTGCCACGCCGGGCTGGTCCGGGGTGTCATCACCCCCAATCGCCCCAGGCGTCCTCCACGGAAGCCCTCACAGCCAAGGACACAAGCAGAGGAGGAGGAGGAGGGGGAGGAGGAGGAGGAGGAGGAGGAGGAGGATGAGGAGGAGGAGAGGAGGAGGAGGAGGAGGAGGAGGAGGAGGAGGTGAGGAGGAGGAGGAGGAGGAGGGAGGAGGAGGAGGAGGAGGAGGAGGAGGAGGAGGAAGAGACGAGGTGGAGGTGGAGGAGGAGGAGAGGAGGAGGAGGAGGAGGAGGAGAGGAGGAAGCGGAGGCGAGTGGAGGGGAGTGGAGGTGGAGGTGGAGGAGGAGGAGATGAGATGAGGATGATGATGATGAGGAGGAGAAGGAGGAGGAGGGGAGGAGGAAGAGAGAATGAGGAGGATGAATGAGGAGAGGAGGAGGAGATGAGGAGGCATGATGATGATGATGATGATGAGATGATGATGATGATGATGATGATGATGATGATGATGATGATGATGATGATGATGATGATGATGATGATGAATGATGATGATGATGATGATGGATGATGATGTTGATGACGTGATGATGATGATGATGATGATGATGATGATGATGAGGAGGAGGAGGAGCAGGAGGAGGAGGAGGTGGAGGAGGAGGTGGAGGAGGAGGTGGAGGAGGAGGAGAAGGAGGAGGAGAAAGGAGGAGGAGGAGGAGAAGGAGGAGGAGGAGGAGGATGAGGGGAGGAGGAAGAGGAGGAGGAGGAGGTGGAGGAGGAGGAGGAGGAGGAGGAGGAGGAGGAGGAGGATGAGGATGAGAGGATGAGGAGAGAAGGAGGCGGAGGAGGAGGATGAGGAGGAGGAGGAGCAAGGGAGGAGGTGGAGGAGGGGTATGAAGCGGGAAGAGTAGAAGCGGACACAGAAAGCAAGGTCGCTGCGCGGCGGCTCGGCGGGGGCGGCGGGGGCGTGCGCGGCGCCCCGTGTCGGATCGTGAGGTCCGCGCCCGCCATCCCAGAGAACCGTGGCACCACCTTCGTGTCCGCCGCCACGGTGCGGCAGACGATGTCGCCCGGCGGGCTCTGGCGGAGGAGCGCTGGGCTGGAGCGGGGGAGAGGAGGAGGAGGAGGAGGAGGAGGAGGAGGAGGAGGAGAAGGAGGAGGAAGAGGAGGAGGAGGAGGAGGAGGAGGAGGAGGAGGAGGGGGAGGATGAGGAGGAGGAGGAGGAGGAGGAGGAGGAGGAGGAGGAACGCGACGGACAGCGGGGTTTAGAGGGTCCTAGCCTCGCTCCTGGAGCTCGAGGCCAGCTCGCACGACGCGCGCTCTCCACACCATCGGCGGGGCGCGCCAGCGCGCGCGCGCGTGCGCACGGCCCGGGGGGCAACTGCCCCGTGGAGCGGCTTCTACGGGTGCCAGTCTGCAGCTCGAGGTCGGGCTGCAGGCCCGCCGACCCCTGAAGGAGGCTCGCCCCCCAAACGTTCCGACCCTCTGGTCCTCCCGTCCGAACTCTGCCTCGAGCCCCCTGGCGTCCCCGACGTGGAACCCGGACCCAGAATCGAGCCAGCTTGAGGTCGAAGGCGCGTCTTGAGGAATGGAGATGACATGCTAAGAACGAGTGTGAGAGAGAGAGAGAAGCAAAGAGATAGAGAGAGAGAGAGAGAGAGAAAGAGAGAGAGAGAGAGAGAGGAGGACAGCAGAAGTGGAGTAGTAAGAGAGAGAGAGAGAGAGAGAGAGAGAGAGAGAGAGAGAGAAAGAGAGAGAGAGAGAGAGGGAGAGAGAGCGACGACAAGCTAGGTGCGTTCGCGCCATGTCTGACATCCTACCCTCCCACCCATCTCTTTCCATTGCGCTGTTTTTTCTCTATATATCCGTTGGTGCGTGTCATAGCAACCCTGGAACTCCAAAGAGGACCCCATCATGTTATGCGCAATTGGGAAAAGTGAGCTGCGTACATTTGAGGAGGTGGTGGAGGAGCAGGAGGATGAGCAGGAGGAAAAGGACGAGTATGAGGAAGGCGGATGATAACGAACAGCAGCAGTAGCAGCAGCAGCGGCAGCAGACGCAGGAGCTGGAGTGCAAGGAGCGGGAGGAGCAGGAGGACCAGGGGACGGCGGAGGAGGGGAAATCAAGGGGGCGACAACGATGAAAAAGGACTCGGATCCAGGAAGAATGCCCGCGCTGGGGCGAAAGCGCAATTCTGAACGACAGGAGCAAAGCGTCGATCCGAAAATGAGGCCCACGCAGCAGCGGGAGTACCATTTTGAAACATCGAAAACAATCGGATTGTAAACAAAAGTAATAACAAACATTTATTGAAATCCTGTGTAACAGAAGCCCGTACGCGGAGAGGGCGGCATACCTTCCGGACGGAGTCAGGGGAGGGAAGGAGTAGTATTCATAATGTGTAAGTGTGAAGCGGAAGGAACACAGAAGAGGATGCGGGCATGAAATGATGTGGCGCTCTCACTGTTGGGCGAAGAAACAAGAAAAACATTGGGACCCAGCCGACGCGCATTGCGGGGTTATCACAGGACGCCGCTGGGAGATCTCGAGAACCCACAAGCACCTTGTCACCACCAGTACCCTGCTTGGATCCCGCACTGTTGGATATCACAAAACTCGTAGCCAAAACGCGATTGAACCTGCCGAGCACGGGGCAGCCATCATCGGTTGCGCCGAAAAGGGGAGCCATGGAGAGTGGAATTCTGCGCTCCCACGACCCGAGGCACGCGCGCGGGCGAGGGGGGGCCAGGGGACTCATTGAGAGAAGGGCGAGGGCCACTGAATTCAGAAAATGTGCATGGCCCTAGCCATGGTACCTCCCCCCCCCATGCTCGCCCCCCTCTTCGACACACGTCTGGAGGAAACCGGAATGCCGAAACGCACACGAGCGGAGTCAGGTCCTTCTGCGCCTCCGTCCACGAGAGCATCAGCGTGCGCTCCTCCGGAGGTGCTCCCTCGTCATTCCCCCCCCCCTCCCCTCATCCACTTTCCTCGTCATTCCCCCCCCCCCCCCCCTCCCCTCGTCATTCCCCCCCCCCCCCTCCATCCATTTTCCTTATGACTAGCTTCTCCCTGTCGCACCCCCCGCCTGGCGTGTCGTTAGGGCGGGTTGGGCGTTTCGCCTGAGACTTCCTCACCCCTCGCCATCTGTGATCCTGAGCTCGGAAGCTTGCAGCACTTTCGAAGACGGCGGGCGGGTGGCTTTCAGCATGTGGCTCTCGCATTCGCGCCATGCCGGCACGATTTCGGATTGTCAAGTCGCAGCAGTCACATTGATTCGCGGAATGGAAGTCTCAGGAATGGGTTATGGCACGACTCAAGGTTTGCCAGGACGCACGAGTCATGTTGGTTGGCGGGGTTGGAGTCCCAGGCTTAGTGTTCGGGCACGATTGATGATTCTCAAGCGGCTGTCGTCTAATAGGGCACTTCCCACAATTGAAATCAATCCTTGTAGGGGCCTGTGAACACGGAACTTGGAGGGAAGGTTTATTGCAGCATCGTTGATGCGTCTGGGGTTTGAACTGCTTCGGCCAGCTTCCACGACCCCTCGTGGTCTGAAGGTCGACCGAGCAAGGCGAATGGGGGTCCTCCTGCCTCTCCTCCTCCGCCAGATCTCCTCGTCCTCCTCCAGCTCCTCAACCTCCGCCTGCCTGTAGGGTTTCTCGTCCCACTACTTCTCGTTCCGTTCGTGATCCTGCTGCTGTTTCTTCTGCTCGCCTTCTTCTTCGTCTTCTTCTTCTTCTTCTTCTTTCTTCCCCTCCTCCTCCTCTTCCTCGCCCCCGTCCCTATCTAGGGCGGCCCGGCTCCGCGAATACCATGTCGGAGGCATTGATCCCGCTGTGTGGGAATGCGGTGAACGTCGATGCTCCCTCCTGCCGGGACAGAGCGAAATGTCAGCGTGCATAAGAAGAGTAAGCCAGCGAGATGCGCAAACGCCGGATCGCCGCGCAGCGCCTGCTCCGCTGGCCCAGCCTCACGCCCCGCATCCGGCATCGCAGCTCGGCCTGGCAGCGCCGGGGCCCTCCAAATGGCCACGCAGGGGGAGGAGGGGGGGAGGGCACGACCGCGCGGGGACACGCCGCCGCAGATGGCGAGGGGCTGCCCAACCTGCGCCCTGCGCGCGCCCACAGGGCGGCCGAGACCGTGCGCCACACGATTCGCGGCCCCCCCCCGCCTCCAACGACAGGACTCCTGCGATCGCGGCGCGTCTCCCTCGCTTCGGCCCTGGGGGGCCCCCTCCGGGCCCGGGGGCCATCCGCCACGAGCGCCCGGGGCGCAACGCTGCCCCCGAGGGAAGGGGTCGGCAGCTCGCGGGCCGCGGACGGAAGCAGAGACCTCTCGGAGGATGCCCGTGCCTGCTGCTGCCGCCGCCGCTGCCGTGGGCACGCCGTGCGGCGCAGACCGGTGCGCGGCCAGCTTCCCCCCGGGAGGCCTCGGCCCGAGCCTCGCGCCGGCGAGGGCTTCGAAGGCCCCAGGCAGGCCGGCTGGGCCTCCGGGGAGCCCTGGCGGCGGGCCTGCGGCAAGCGGCACGGCGGCCGTGCGCCATCCCCGGCCGACGGCGACGGCGACGGCGACGGCGACGACGACGACGACGTCGGACGACGACGACGACGACGACGACGGACGACGACGACGACGGCGACGACGACGACGACGACGGACGACGACGACGACCTCGGACGACGGTGGCTAAGACGGACGACGATAACGACGCTGACGACGACGACGAAAATGACGACGCCCGCCCCCCCGCGCGCCCGCCCGCCCGCCCGCGCGTGCGCCCCTGCCCCTCGTCGATGCGCAACGCTTCGCTGCTCAATGGCCAGCTCTGGCGCCCTCGGGCCGGACCACTGAGCCGCTGCTGGCTCTCGTGTGCGGCGGCACGGGCTGCGAGAGCGGGCGTGCCCGCTGCGGTGGCGCTCCCTGGCAGGACACGCCGACGGCATCAGGAAGCCGCGGAGGCCATTCAGCGAGCGGGAGGGCTTCGGGATGGGTGGCCAGGCAGAGGAATCTTTTTCGTCTGCTTCACGCGTACAGTTGGCCTCGTTAGGCCAGCAGGGTGGGTGAGGCCGGGGCTTTTTGAAGCCCCGCAGGATGAGGAGGAGGAGGAGGAGGAGGAGGAGGAGGAGGAGGAGGAGGCCCACCGAGCTGGTGCGCACATCAAAGGTACCTGTGCTAACCTCTGAACGCCCTCGCGGACATCTCGCCGCTCTCTCGCGGCACCGCGTCGGGAGTATTCCCTCGCTAGATGTGGGTCGCTCTTAGCCTCGCCATTGTCCACGGACTTCTTCTGGCCTCGCGCTCTCTCAACGTCAGGCTGGTAACACTGCCAGCGACCACGTCCGATCGATCGGTATGACTTGCTTTCCCATCGCGCCGTCAATCTAGGTGGCGATCGTAACACTCACAAGCCGATCGCAGACAGAGAGCGACTACTGCGCTAGACCATGCCATGATCCGCGGCGATCGCGATCAAAATGAGGGATGTACGACTGGGAGGCTCAACCAGCATCTCCTTCATCACACAGTACCCGTCAGACGGCTGCATCTCCACAATCAAGCGAGCCGTATCCTCGCTAGAAGTAACGTTCCTGTTGAAGTTCAGCTGGTACGTTTGCTCGTGCGCGTCAGGAGACCAACTCTGGTCGAAATAGCCGCACTTGATTTCCACTGCGAGGCCGGCCGTTCTATTTGCCGTATGCCGTGAACAGAGGAACAAACATGAGGTCGGGCATGTCCTCCTACAGGCGGATTTTGGAAGGCGGATTTTGGAAGAAGAGCCAAATATGGTCAACAAGTTCCAAAACAGTCAAAAACGGTCGAAACATCGTCCCCAGATCATTTGTTGCACTATTTCTGAATATTCCTCCTGTAGAGGGACATGCCCGACTTACAACAAACAGCTGCATGGGCCGAAACGTTCGGAGGTCCGCGCGGATTTATTGCATCGGCGCTGGGCCCTCCCTTGGCAGCACTTCCGGCGACGCCCCCGGCGCGCTCCACGCGCCCGGGGGAGGGGGGCCCAGTACCGATCCGGGCCATCCGCGCGGACCACTGACGATTTTTACCTTCCTGCAGTTGCCTGCTCCTCGACTGTCGGGCTACTGGGAGTGGGGATCCGCGCTGACATGGAGTGGGGATCCGCGCTAACATGGAGTGGGGATCCGCGCTAACATGGAGTGGGATTGCCTGGCTTGGCGCGTGGAGCGCGCCAGGGGCGGCGCCAGAGGCGCCGCCAGGGGGTCCCAGCGCAGATCCAAGAAATCCGCGCAGAGCGTCGAAAGTTCATGTTCATGCCGTTTTTTCTTCTTCGAGAGTTGGGGAGAACAAGTGTCGTGTTGGGAGGAAGGGGTTGGGAGGAGGAAGGGCACGCGCATCAGCGTCTGGATGCAAGGCACGATACCTTCGACCGCCTACGGGGAATGATATCCTTCTTTCTCCCAGCCCCGAGGACCATGAGGAGGGGGGGCGGGTGCCTCTCGTGGTCCGAGGTAGGTGCGCGGGCCAGGGGAGGGCCACAGGACGCGTGGAGATACGAAGGAGGGGCCGTGATACCTAAGACCTCCTCCTCCTCCTCCTCCTCCCTCCTCCTCCTCCTCCTCCTCCTCCTCCTCCTCCTCCTCCCTCCTCCTCCCAACCCGAAAACTGTCTTCCTGAAGAGTGGGCGGGGCCCACATCCCAAGCGCCGCCGGGACGTCCGCAAACGCCGCCCGCGGGCCCTCCCTGCCGCCCGCCCCGCCCGCCCCGGACCCCTGCGTGCCCAACAACAACTCGCCGTCGCTCGGACGCCCAGTCCCTGTGCGTCTTCCGGCCTCGTGTCGGGCGCCCGGCCCCTGCGCGCTCTCTGGCCTCGTGCGTGTTTTTCTGCCGGCTGGCTGGTCGAGGGCGCTCCTCGAAGGCCCTCGCCGAGGAAGGCAGTGCACGCGTCCGAGCGATGCCGAGGCGAAGGCGGGGGGAGAGAGCGGAGGGAGGGACGGGGCGGGGTGACTCTCCGGCGCACTCCGTGCGTGCGAGGTCCGCGGGCGCGCGCAGGCGCGCCGAGGCGTCGGTGGGGCGGCTCCCGAGGCGAGCCGCGGCGCGTGGGAGAAAGAGGGGGGCAGAAGGGCGGAGGGCGCGCGGGGAGCGGGGGCCGCGCCCAGGACGCGCGGTGGAGGAGGAGGAGGACCAGTGTGAACCCAGAAGTCATCGACGATGTTGGAGTCAGACCCTCCCTCCAAGCTCCCTCCTCACAGAGGCCCGCCTGCAGCGGGCTCGTTTCCACTGGGAGAGCTGTCCCGTTGGAAGACATCTGTTGGAAGACCCTGAAGCGTGCCAAAGCATTGGTCTCGGGATTCCAACGCAACGGCTTAACTTGACTGCTGCGTCTTGACGTTCCTGGATCGTGCCAGAACGCCAGTCCTGGGACTTCAACACCGCGACTTAATGTAAATGTCGCACTCTCATATCTTTTAAGCCATCATTTCTGGTACGCTGACCATGGAAATCCGTTAAACTTTGTCGAATGTTGAAACCGACTGTGCGCGGCGCTGAGGCGAGAACCACATTTTGAAAAAGAACCGCCCTCAATCAATGTAACTCTGGTTTTTATAAAGAATGTGCGCGGCGCTGATGCGAGAACCACATTTTGAAAATCACCTGCCCTCGATCCGTGAAATTCGTACAATTTTTGAACATGAATGTGCGCGGCGATAAGACGAGAGCCACATTTTGAACACCACCGCCCTCAATCCGTGAATCTCTTGCAATTCTTAAAACGAATGTGCGCGGCGCTAAGGCGAGAGCCACATTCTGAAAACCACCCGCCCTCCATCTGTGAAACTGTTGCCGTTTCTGAATCCTCAGGGTCATAAAAAGGTGAGGGAGTCTCAGGCGAAACGCCCGGCCCGCCCGAAAAACTGGCCTCGGGGTCCGACAGGGAGAAATTCTTTATAACAAGGAAGAGGAATGGAGGAGGAGGAGGAAGAGGATGAGGACGACGAGGAGGAGGATGAGGATGAGGAGGAGGAGGAAAGGGAGGAGGAGGAAAGGGAGGAGGAAGAGGAGGAGGAGCCGGGAGAGCACCGGCTCTTCGGACCCGCCTCCGTCTGTAAGGCGGTATTGCCCATGAGTTCGCGCTGCCCCGTTCCATGTGCCCCTCCCCGTAGGCCCCTTCCCCAGCCCACAGCAGGCATGCCCCAAATGTTGGCTCAGGATTCTTACCTTCCGCGAGCCCGGGCCAATTTCGAAGGATCCTCGCTCCAGGGGCCACGACCCTTCGCGAATTACGCTGCGTCCTCGATCCTAAGGCCAACATGCTTTGTGAATGACACTTGATCCGCGCTCCCCGGGCCGCGATCCAGCGAAATTGCTTTGGATCCGTACTCCGAGGGCAACGATCCCTCGTAACAAAAAACGCTGGAACCGCGTTCCATGCGTTTCCAAACTCCTTCCGGTGGGCCTGATACTGCTCTTGCTGGTGCTATACTGCTGTTGGATACGCTCGAGCAGGCCCGACAAGCCTCGCAGACAAACAACAAACAACCAAACATGATGCTGAGGCGTGCTGCGAACGACCCGCATCCTCTGCTTTCGTAAAAGAACAAGTGTGCCAGGATATGGCTACTTCCTGGCTCACTCCTTGACCGCCACCTCCACTGCGGCTTGTTCACCATCGGGCACCTGTAACCCCCTTGAGACCGCAGCGCGCCCCCCCCCTGGTCCTTACAAAAGCGCCTCGAGGCCTCCTGCTGATCCCCAGGCTCTCTGCGGCTCTGTGGGGTGGGGGGAGCAAACCGGGCCGAAAGAAGTCTCCTGTGGTGCTGGCGCCGGAGATTTCCATGGGACGCCAACTGCCGCTCCAGGCCAGCTCGCCGTTGTACTTCATGCTCGTGGCGTACTGTGAGCACGTGGCCTGCTTGGGTGGGCGCCGTTGCAATATGCTGGCTCTTCCTCGCTCCTCGTCCTCCTCCTCCTGCTCCTCCTCCTCCTCCTCCTGCCCTCCTCATGCGCATCCTCCTCCCCTCGCTCACAAAGTCCTCCCCTCCCGATCCCACTTCCCGTCCCTTTCCAATTCCCCACCCCCTTTCCTTCCGCTGTCCTCGTCCTGCCCCCCCCTCCCCACTGCACGCTTCCCCCCGGTCGGCCGTTCCGTGTGGCGCCACGCAAGATGGTGCCAGACCGTGTCTATTTCGCAGCCAGTGCTTGCACCCCAGGGGCTTCGTGCTTCACGTATTAGGTCCGGCATGTCCTCCTACAGGCGGGTCTTGGACGAACAAATAATCAACAAATGCGCCCAAACAAAGGTCAGAAAATGATCACTAAATCGTTCCCATACTATTTTTTGGCTGTTTTTTGACTATTCCTCCTGCAGAGGGGCGTGCCCGACTTCATGCCTGCACCCAGGGGGCCTCGCGCTTCACGCAGGGAGAGCTCTTCGGAGCCCAGCCGGGGCGACCGAGCCCCAGGCCCCGTGGTCGCCCAGGCCCCGTGGTCGTTGGGTGGCCTTGGCTCGGCGGTGGACAAACCTCCCCTTTACTAAACCTTCCCTTCATGAAAACGGCCTGGGACCGAAACCGACGGACCTGGACCGGCAAAAATGACGGCCGCGACGCCCTCTCGCGAACCGAGAACGGCCAATTCCATAATCGACGTGTCAAGGTAGGAGGTCTATCAACCTCCGATCAGCGTCCCGCCCATGGGATCCGGCCCAGTGTCCGGTGGCTCGGGCAAGAGGTCGACTGCAGAATCGATTTGCCCCAGAATTCAGTCTTGGCCGACTCTGCGAGAAGTGCAAATAAACAGATCGTAGATCCGCGAGCACCATCCGTTTTTTTTTTTTTGTGTTGTCGTAGATTCGTCGGAGAAGCTGATTCTGGGGTGCATGAACTCTGCAGTCGATCTCCTAATTACTCGAGTGGTGGGTGCCCCTGCACATCAGCCGCCCAAGCCTGCACCTCCCTCCCCGCACCTCTGGCGTCCTGCGCAGCTCCGGTCGGCACTCCTGTTCCTTGCGTCTGGGCCCGTGGGCGCCCTGTTTCGTTTTTCCCCTCGCAGGCCAGCGATGAGTAGATTGGCTCCGCTCCCCGTTGTGCGAGTCAAAACGTCGCCGGGCAAACCAGGAACCTGTGGGTGCCTGTTCTGGGCTCCAAGGCCTGCAGGGGAGAGCCCAAGGAGCAGAGCCCACGCTGCTGCTGTCGTCGAGGGCCCCCCGGAGCCGCAACAGTCGTGAGGCAACTGGAAAGGGTGGGAGGCTGCATGCGCAAGCACCCACCCGCACAACCTCCTCCCCCCTCACCC